ATACGCGGTCATTCCGTCCAGCAGTAATTACAGAACTAGAACAATTATGTAAATGTATCATGTCCCTTTGAGGAGTTTTTTAAAAGCAAAATATATCTTTTTTTAACTACATTCCCCCAATTCTTTCACTAAATCTGTATTTTAAAGGACACTTTATGTTCTTTCCTTTTATTTAAAAACATGGTGCTGTCTTTGAGATGATGTGTAATCCCCTTAGCAGTATTTTAAACCATAGAGGAGGTCTCTTTCTTTCGCTGAGTGGTCTGCAATTTTGATGAAGGCATCATTAGTCCTCTAAGTATTACACTCATACTGCGCCAGTAAATTGAATTTCCTTGTTTCAAACACTTGGCACACCACCATGAAACCTAGACCACAAATTCTCAGAACTATGCTACAAATAGTTATTTTTTTTAAAAAAACTTGTTAAATGCAAGCATTTCTTTACAAGTTTTGGTCATCAGTCTTCAGTGTCTTTGATGACTCTTGCAGCAAATCTTTATAATGTTGCTTTCGCCGAATCATGCATTAGAGTTCAAAGGCAACTTAAGAATCCAGCTAGTAGACTTTGCTGCATTCAGGCTGGAATCTCACAACTGTTTAAGCAATTTTAACATGAATTTTAATCGTTTTGTTTTGTTTTACTAGAGTGAGATTTCAGAATAATTTTGTAATCTTCAGAATTTTTCACTCCAGATTACAGCTTGTATTTATTCAAGGCATGTAAATAATTACACTAATTTACTATACTAATTTAATTTACCCTGTAGTTATACCTCTTTCAGAAGGTTGCTGGCTTCGGGCTAGTCAGTGGTTTTTCCACCTATAAAGTTTGAATAAGGAGAACAGTCTTTCAGTGGTCAAGTTTAGGAGTGAATTGCCCGTGTACTGTTGGCTCTGTCCTCTTGCATTGTGTCTTCTGTGTTGTGTAACCTCTTTGGGTAACTGAATGTCAGGGTTTGAGTAAGGTGAGGATGGTGTCAGACTGTTCTCAAAGGTGCATGAAAACAGGACAAGAAGCCACAGAAGCTGCAACAGGGGAAATCCTGATTAGATACAAGAGAGAAAGAGGAAAAAAAAAGTGCAGTTGTAAATTTAGAAATTCACTTTGACAAGCGTCTTGATCAAAAGTTGAATTGTGATTATCTCCAATGGTGTGATTCCTTTTGCGAGCAGTGAGGTTGCTTCATCTCTTACCATCTTTAAAACAGTCTGACAATAGTTGTGAAAAAAAACCCCTGTTCTCAAGAAGCTTAAGTGTCTGGCAGAGACTTTGGCCTGCTTTGGTTTTGATTGTTGCTACTCAGGAACTGGTATATGTAAACTAAGAACATACTCAGGATTTATATGTATTATTTATCTTTCCGTGGGAAAACAACCTGAAAAGCCATAATTTGTCTCTCCTCTTACTGTCTGGATACTGATGTTTTCTGAACAGCAGTTAAGAAATGATACAGTATAGATTTACCTAGCACCATATTGATTCTTTCTGTCTTGTAGCATTTACTGTTGCTCTTAGGGAAGTACTAAAAGAACACTATCCATCAGCTAGGCGTTTTTCCCTTTTAAGATTTTGCTGTTGAAGGAAAAACAATTTGATCATTGACTATTAGCAATGTATCTTTTTCTTGCTAGGTCATTCAGGCCTGATTTTGTCCTCGTGCGGCAACATTCATTCAGTATGGCAGAAAACGAAGATTTCCGTAACCTGATCATTGGAATGCAGTATGCAGGCATCCCGAGCGTCAACTCCCTGGAATCAATCTATAACTTCTGTGACAAACCATGGGTGGTAAGTGATGTACTGAAAAGTTCCTCTGGTGCAAAAAACAGTTAGGCTTGGTTTTTATTTGTTTGCTTGTTTAGTTCCCTTTATGAATACTGAGTATCAAACTGCAAAGTTACTTAGCAGAGCAGGGAAGAAATAATGAAAGGAATGAAAGGTAAATGAAGATATTTAAGTCATTTTTTTTTCAAAGAGCCAGTGTAGGCAGTGTGAAGACAGAGAGAAAAAAGTATTTGTAGTACAAGTAATGAATGAGTAAACTAATGGAGAGCCTATCCGCTGCTAACATACTTCCTCAAGCGAGGAAAGTGTATTTATTCACAATTTGTCTGGGAAAAGCAAGCTGAGAATATTTTTCATACTTGTGGTTTTGAACATAATTTAAACAGACTTTTACCCAGTGTTTTCCTCATACCTGTGAAATTTTTGGGGTTATGCTTTAGCAAGGAAATCTGAAGCTATTAGTTTCTTCATTTGAAAGCTCTTTTCATAATCTTGTGCATATGGGGTAGGAGTTAGTCTTTTCCGTTACACCTAGAGTAACGAGGTACACTGGAGAATCACTGGTATTTGCTAGTTTTAGTGTAGAAGCCAGTTCAGTTTTTCGTTACATGCTTTGTAGTGATGGAGGCAGAATTTTGTGATCTTGGTTCATAGAGAACTAAACATTAGTAGTTTAACTTTAAACATAAGTTAAAATGTGATGCTGTAAGAGATGATGATCAGTTGTGCAGTCACTGTTCCTTTAATAGGTGCATTCAGTTGCCCAAGAGCTAATGAAACTTCAAAGAATACCACTTGTTATAAATAGCCACAGCTTTATAAATGTTTCCTCTGACGTCTGGCTAAGAACAGAACAGTTGTCAGTATCTTTCACACCAAAGGAAAGTTTTACCATAATACTACTTATTGCCTAGATGTTAATTTTTTTCATGCTAACTATGAAAATCCCTCTAAAAAACGTTGCCAGCAGATTTTGACATAGACCTCTTTCAGCTGATTTTATCGTGCTTTTCTGTTGCAGTACACTACAGTGGGGAATAAATAGTTGATAGAGCATTTGTAACTTCTTAGAATACATATTGTACGTTGCTGAATCCATTATTTCAATACATCACATTTTCTGTGCTATGTGGCATTTCTTAATGCTTTGATTCACTGTATGCAATAAAGCTGGGTGACGGAGCAATAACAGTAGCGTTTATATGCAATAACGATACAATAAAAAGTAAATGAATAATTCCTCCTAATATTCTTCTGGTGACATTAGTGTAAGGGCTGTTCTTCCACCAAACCAATAAAGATATCTCTTTCTTATAACTAGTCTTGTTGCACAAAAAATAAATAACAAATAATAAGGTATTTTGCTTATAAGGTCTTATATTTTTGAGTTATAATAATTTTAAAATACTCTTGAATTATGGTGAAGTGTTTTTAAGGTGTGACATACAGTTCATGATGAAATGGTTCTCTTCTGAAATGCTGTATCTGTATCTTTGCTTTTTGCAAAAATTCCCTTTTTGGCTGAAATTTCTGCAGTTTGTCTCAGCCTAGATATGGGTGAAATGAAAATGTTTTTAAGCTGATCTTATTTTATTTGAATGTAGAGAAGAATGATTTTTTTTTTTGTCCTTTCAGATGTTTCTACCTTACCATTTCTACATCTGACAGCCAAAATATGTTTTGTTTGAAATAGTCAAATTTTGTACAGCCTCAGCAAGAGTCCATTTCACATCTCTTAGACGTTTCCTTTACTATAATTTCCTAATAGCTGTTCTAGAGACATTTTAAACTGTTAGACAGGTCATATGCTTCAAACTAACATCTTTCATGTTTTCATTTTCTTCTATAGTTCCCCAAAGTGCTTTTCATTAAGGTGCACAATAGAGAGAGCAGGGCCTGAGTGTATGCCTCCCACTGCAAGTCCATGGGCAGTGAGGCTGAGTAGGCAGCTTTCATGTGTTATGTGCATGATCCTGTTTCGCTCCTCCAATGGTCTCAGTTCTGCGTTTTAACTACCTGTGACCATAGGTGAAGCCTGCAAATGTGTGTCTGCTCCCGTTCTGAATATGTGGTGGCACTGTGCTTTAGTTGGACCCTACTTAGGAGTGTGGACTATTAATTTGAGCACAAAAATAGCTTCTGTACAAACACGAAGGGGCCTGTTTGGGCATTTAACTTGGAATAGCCTGACTTCTGCTCTTTGTGGTAGTGGGAGATGTAGAGACAACTGTGTTTGTCCCAGAGCATCATGGAATCTTCATCGGATTTAGGAAAGGTAAACACTGCAAGAAGTCTTGCAAGCTTGTTTCAAGCCAAGCCCAGAAAAGCACTCAGAGAGTGAAAATCCGTTGATCCTTTGATTCAGCCCATTTCATCAATGTTCAAATAATGCAACAGAATCCAGGGACTGTTGGTTTTGCTGATATTATGTTCTAGCTTGTTCTGTTAGACCTAACTCATGAAGGCTGCCCTGCCTATGTGAAATCCCTGCTGCAGACTGTAGGCTGGGTCTAGGTGCCTTAGAGCGCACTCCTCAATCTGTTGCTGCGTGCTGGCATTAAACATAAAACCCATCGATGCCTATACTGTGCTCCTCGGTGTTCTTCAGGCCAGTGAATCAAGCAGTGTTCCCCGCTGTTAAAATGACACACATTTTAGCTGAACTGGTACAACCTTGGTTAAACTGTAACTAGAAAAAACTAGCAGAATTATTCTGCAAGTTCCTTGATCAGAAACCAGTTCGACATTTACAGCACTGATTAAAGGTCTCGAACCACCTGCAACTCTCATGGCTCATATACCGAACTTCACGATTTGGTGAAACTGGAATTGTACCTTAGTTAAGACCATTTTCTTGTTTAAATTTCTGTCATCTTCATCATGGCTTAGATACTAGAGTTCACTCTAATTCTGATTACGTTTTATGCTATTGGTAGTCTGAACATTCATGTAAAAAGACTATTATGTTCTACTTCATACACATATGGATCTTTCCATAAAGTACCTCTTGATGTCAGAAAGAATTTCACAAGGCATATTCAGCAGTCTTGTCCATGTCAGTTCTGCAATAGGGCAAGTAAGAACTTTCTGGACAATTTCTTGGTTAAAATGGGTGACCTAATACTTTTGTGAAAACTATTTCTGTAAAAATTGCAAGTTCAAAAGCCTTATGAAAAATTAGAAATCAGAACTCTAGGTAAAGCCATAAGTAACAATCTTTATTAATTGGTGAGAAATAGATTGACTTTCCTGCAGGTGGCATTTGAGTGGCAGAAGTGAATTAACTATTTCTGTAATAGCAGGAAAAAAAAAAATAAAGTGTCCAATGGAATGGGCCTTAAAGAGATGAAAAATTATTGAATTAGTCATGAGCAATTGTTCTTACATCAGTGCAAAATCAGGAGTAGTATAGAATTGCTAGGAGGGGGAGCCAGGAAAGTTAGACGAGTTACAATAGGATTGGGGAATAAAACGAGAGTTAAAATCCAACATATGAGATGTTTGTTTTTTAAATTACTGTTCTTCGAAGTGTCAGATCTTTCCTTTTTTTAGAACACAAGCTCCAGATGCACAGCATCTCTTTTCAGCCCTGAGGGCAGATTCGCACCCTGCGCTAGAAACCGAAGCACCTGCCCTGAATTGTTCAGCAGAACTCTTTTCGTGCCGTGCCTGCAGATTGCAGGAGTTTGTTTGCCTTTGCCAATAGACAGTCAGTGAACTTGTCTTTGGTCTGAGGTGTAGTATTGAAAGATGGGGGTGTGGTGGAAGGTTGGCAGGAACATGACTACAAACGTTTCTGAAAACAAATCTTAAAACCTGTGTTTTACGGTGTCAGGACATACGTAGTTCCTCCAAATGTGTGTCAAAAGTTCAAAGCACCGTATAACCCTTTGAAACTTTAGGCTACCAGCAACCATGGCAAAGAAAATATTGAAATGCATGTGTGTGGTGAGATGTTTGCATACTGAAATATGTGAACGATTCAGGATTATTACAGTACTCCTGTTATTTCGCTTCTGTGATAATACTTACCGCCTACCTCATGAAGATTCATGATCCTGGCTTGTGAGATGGATTTCACTTAAATGCTAGGAAGAATGTTGGAAAGCTACTTGCCTAGGGGAGAAGCATGAGTTTTATAAATAAAAACTAAGTTCTTTCTTACTGAGCACATGCAGAGTGGTGGAGGAACCGTTTTAAGGTTCATACCCTCCCTTACCACGTTGGAATGTTTCATTGCGTTGTCATGTTGCAAAGTAATAGTCTTGTGCATGGCTCGTCCCGTTCAAATGGGGTAAAAATTTGACCTAGATTAATTTGCACTTACGTTGAGTTAAGGCGAGGCAAAAATTTATACTTTCCTTGTTGGATTTGTGATCCATCTTATAATTTTACTCATGTCTAATAGTGTGCACAAACTGTTGTAAAGCTTTTACAAAAGTTTTACAGTAGTAAAAAGAGAAAAAAAGAGCATAATTATTTACCCAAAGTTATGATTTGCTATTGTTTGCAGTAACAATCCAGATATTTTGCTATTTGTGTTTTCCTTTAGAAAATGTCATTCAAGAAATAAGGGAGGCATTCCTTAGCTGAGGCTTATGAGATTGTATGTAATCTTTCTAACAGTACACGATGTAGGTAAGTGGAGTAAGTAATTGTGGAGGCTGGAAGTAACTGGAAAATGTGATGATAATGACAGTGCTTGTAATAATAGGGAAAATCTCATGCTTATGATTCATGCTGGAGAAATAATATTTTAAAAAAGGCCACAATGTTCCGGTGTATTAGGTTGAATTTTTAAAAAATTTCTTCTGTCCTGCATGGCTCCTTTTGCATACTTCCTGTTAAGATTTATGTGAAATCTGCATGCTAAAGGGTTTGCAGCAACTGAACCCTGCTCTTCATTTTAGCTTCGCTTGCAAATATTGGTGACAGAGATGCAGCCTTGGAATACTACAGATTCTTAGCTCTTCACCCCTGCTGTGCATAGCAGGTTGCCATTA